AGGGAAGTTTATACCTCTACAGGCCTATCTCAAAAAAAACAAGAAAAAATGGTAGTACATCATCTAAATCTACAACTCAAAGAATTAGAAAGAGAACAACAAGAAAACCCAGAGTGAGCAGAAGGAAGGAGATAATAAAGATTAGAGCAGAAATAAATGACATAGAGACCAAAAAAACAATACAGAAAATCAATGAAACCAAGAGCTGGTTCTTCGAAAGGATAAACAAGATTGACAAACCTCTAGCCAGGCTCACCAAGAAGCAAAGAGAGAGGACCCAAATAAACAAAATCAGAAATGATAGAGGCGAAATAACAACAGACCCCACAGAAATACAAATGATTGTTAAAAAATACTATGGACAGCTCTACTCCAACAAACTAGACAACATCGAGGAAATGGGACAAATTCCTAGAAAAATACAACATTCCAAAACTCAATCAGGAAGAATCTAAAAATCTCAACAGGCCAATAACTATGGAAGAAATTGAATCAGTCATCAAAAAGCTTCCATCAAACAAAAGCCCAGGACCAGACGGCTTCACAGGGGAGTTTTACCAAACATTCAAGGAAGAACTAAAACCTATCCTCCTCAGACTACTACAAAAAATTCAAGAGGAAGGAACACTTCCAAGCTCATTCTATGAAGCCAGCATCACCCTAATACCAAAACCAGGTAAAGACAACACAATGAAAGAGAATTACAGGCCAATATCCCTCATGAACATAGATGCCAAAATCCTCAACAAAATCTTAGCAAATCGGATCCAGCAGTACATCAGAAAGATCATACACCATGACCAAGTAGGATTTATCCCAGGGATTCAAGGATGGTACAATATCTGCAAATCAATAAACGTGATACATCACATAAACAAATTGAAAGAAAAAAACCACATGGTCATATCAATTGATGCAGAAAAAGCATTTGACAAAATCCAACACCCATTTTTGATAAAAACTCTCAGCAAGGTGGGAGTAGAAGGATCATACCTCAACATAATAAAAGCCATATATGACAGGCCCACAGCCAACATCATACTCAATGGACAAAAACTAACACCATTTCCCCTAAGAACAGGAACAAGACAGGGATGCCCACTCTCACCACTCCTGTTCAACATAGTACTGGAAGTATTAGCCATTGCAATTAGACAAGAAGAAGAAATAAAAGGCATCCAAATTGGAAAAGAGGAAGTAAAACTGTCCTTATTTGCAGACGACATGATATTATACATACAAAACCCTAGAGACTCCATCAAAAAACTACTAGGCTTAATACATGAATTTGGCAATGTAGCAGGATACAAAATTAACCCCAAGAAATCTGAGGCATTTCTATACACCAATAGTGAACTTTCAGAAAGAGAGATTATAAAAACAATCCCATTTACCATCGCACCAAAAAGTTAAGCTACCTAGGAATAAACTTAAGTAAAGAGGTAAAAGACCTCTACTCAGAAAACTACAGGACGTTGAAAAAAGAGATAGAGGAAGACATAAACAGATGGAAGAACATTCCGTGTTCATGGATTGGTAGAATCAACATTAAAATGTCCATACTACCCAAAGCAATCTATAAATTTAACACACTTCCCTTTAAAATACCAATGGCATACTTCACAGATCTAGAACGAACTCTCCAAAAATTCATCTGGAATAAAAAAAGACCCTGAATAGCTGCAGCAATCCTGAGAAAGAACAAAGTAGGTGGGATCTCAATACCAGATATCAAGCTGTATTAAAAAGCCACTGTTCTCAAAACTGCCTGATACTGTCACAAGAACAGACATATAGATCAATGGAATAGAATAGAGAGCCCAGAAATCGGCCAGAACCAATATGCTCAATTAATATTTGACAAAGGAGGCAAGAACATACAATGGTGCCAGGATAGTCTCTTCAATAAATGGTGTTGGGAAAATTGGGGAGATATATGCAAGAAAATGAAACTAGACCACCAACTTACACCATACACAAAAATAAACTCAAAATGGATAAAGGACTTAAATGTACGACAGGAAACCATAAAAATTCTAGAAGAATCCAAAGGCAACAAAATCTCAGACATATGCCGAAGCAATTTCTTCACTGATACAGCTCCTAGGGCACTTGAAACTAAAGAGAAAATAAACAAATGGGACTACATCAAAATAAAAAGCTGCTGCACAGCAAAAGAATACATCAACAAAACAACAAGAAAACCCACTGTGTGGGAAAACATATTTGCCAATGTCATATCTGATAAGGGCCTAATCTCCAAAATTTATAGGGAACTCATACAACTTAACAAAAGGAAGATAAGCAATCCAATCAAAAAATGGGCAAAGGACCTAAATAGACACCTTTCAAAAGAGGACATTCAGAAAGCCAAGAGACATATGAAAACATGCTCAAAGTCACTAATCATCCAAGAGATGCAAATCAAAACAACAATGAGGTACCATCTCACACCTGTCAGACTGGCTATCATCAACAAATCAACAAACGACAAGTGCTGGAGAGGATGTGGAGAAAAAGGAACACTTGTGCACTGCTGGTGGGAATGCAGACTGGTGCAGCCACTATAGAAGACAGTATGGAGTTTCCTCAAAAAACTAAAATGGAACTCCCATTTGACCCTGTGATCCCACTTCTAGGAATATATCCCAAGAAACCAGAAACACCAATCAGAAAGGATATATGCACCCATATGTTCATAGCAGCACAATTCACCATAGCTAAGATCTGGAAACAGCCTAAGTGCCCATCAGTAGATGAATGGATTAGAAAGCTGTGGTACATCTACACGATGGAATACTATGCTGCTGTAAAAAAGAAGGAACTCTTACCATTTGCAATGGCATGGATGGAACTGGAGAGCATTATGCTAAGTGAAATAAGCCAGTCAATGAAGGAAAAATACCACATGATCTCACTCATTCATGGATAATAGAGACCATTATAAACTTTTGAACAATAATAGATACAAAGGCAGAGATGCCTCAAACAGGTTGTCAAACTGCAGCGGGAAGGCCGGGGAGGGTTAGGGGGCAGGAGGGGGGAGGTAAGAGATCAGCCGAAGGACTTATATGCATGCATATAAGCATAACCAATGGACATAAGACACTGGGGGGTAGGGGAGGCCAGGGGATTGTCAAGGGCGGGCGGGGGGGGGGGAAATACACATATGTAATACCCTTTGTAATACTTTAAGCAATAAAAAAAAGATTTAAAAATAAAAAAGATGATTGTACATACACCATATGATCATGTCCATGTAAAACATATGCATAGGTAAAAATATCATCACTTGTGACCAGGGAGAGGAGCAGGAGGACTATGAATACATTTTTTTCTCTTCTGCTTTTCTTTTTCCAAACTTCTTACTTAAGCTAGGAATGTGTTCAGCTACAAGTAAGAGAAAACCCAAAGAACTGAGGCTTAAATCCTATGCACATAAAATCTCGAGTTAGCGAGAAGTGTGTATGTAGGCAGGTTCTTCAGCGCTAAGTGATGCCATCAGGATCCGCACCTGTGCACCACATCCCCACCTCCTGTGTCACCTTCTTAAGCAGGAGGGGAAGGAAGAAAAAACAAAGCGCTTACTCTTCCCACAAGTCGATCTCTTTAAGGAAAGCAATATTTCTCAGAATCTTCCAAAACATGTTCTCTTACATGCCAGTAGCCAGAATCAGATGTTCTATGGTCATCCTAGGAAAAGTTCTACTGACAATGTAGAAGAAGGTACTATGATTGGTTTAGACCAGCCTTGTGATAAAATGTTTTATTATGAAGGAACAATTACATATCCCCATGCTCCAATACTGTAGCTGCTAAGGACATGTATCCATTAAGCACTTGAAATGTGGCTAGCTTGACTAAAGAACTAAATTTTTAATGTTGCCTACCTTTCATTAATTTAAATTTCAATGATCCCATGTGGCAATTTATTGAACAATGTAGGTTTAGTGAAAATCACAATTCACCCCCTCTCATCTAGGAGTTACATTAGCAAAATGAAGGAGAAAAAGACCTGATGTTGGACAATGAATTGTGTCTGCCCTAATTCTCCATTAGTTTATATTGTAAATCTTGTTTATTAACTTTTATTTTTAATAAAAATGATAATGCTTTAAATGCCATGGGTTTGAGAACACTGCATTCATCTGCATCCCCAGAAATAGAACCAAGCTAAGTCACAGTACCGCAGGAAAGATGTGAACGGCTGAATATTGGGCAGCCTGTTCAATGTTGATTTGTGAAAAATGCCTGATGCATGTGCAATTGAATATTCATTCTCAACATAAGAAGGTGGCTCTAGTGGGATGTTGGAGAGCTAAACATAAGTATGGGGGTAGATGGATTAGTGTTTCATTTAGCGTTATGCTTGTTTTAACCAGACCCATACATGTGTGAAGCTCTGGATCTCTAATGGATGTTGGTTTCATCTTCCTTTCTTGTCTATCAGGATTGCCTATCCCTTCTGTGGAACATTTGTCACCATTCCTAGCAGTGATGCTGATGAGTGATGAGGATGAACACTCTCTTGTGAAAACCCATAAACCTAACTACTGGCTTTCATCATCGCCACCTAAGTTAGGATTCCTATGTGGGTGTCAAGGTTCAGTAATAGCTGGAATTCCTTCTCCTGTCTAGAATAGCATATGAGGCTGGTTGGGTTTCTAAAAGCAGATACTAAGACAGAGTTTTAGATGAAAGATGTTATTAGGGAACCAAACCTGGGAAAGAAAGGAATAGAAAGGCATAGAAAGGATTGGGCAGAGGGGAAGTCAAATTGTGGTACAGGTATGATAAAGCTTGACCACCTGGACAAGGACCTCTAGTCCTCACTCATCGGGGAGAAATTGCCAGACTTTTTATTTTTTTATTTTTTATTCTTTGCATAGTCACTAGATGCAGACTTCCCTGAGAAGGGGGTGAGCTCAGGCAAGGCTGCTCTCTGCAGCTGAGGCCAGCACTGAAGAAGCTGGAGACCCCCAATGCCCACACCTCCGCAGCTGGAAGCAAGTCCTTCTCTGAAGAGGAGTTTGGGCAGCATGATCTCCATGTCAGCAGCACATGACTAGGATAACTTCTTGTAGGTGTCTGGATGGAGCTGTAAACACAAACAGAAGTTTTCTGACTAGTTAATAAAGTCATCTTTATGGCTGAAATGCAATGCATTCTATCAAACTGCCCCCCTTCTAAGTAGGCCTGGAATCCCACCGTATGTTAGCACTCTAGGCTGAGGGTGATCAGTCTGAGATTGGGTAGTTTTGTTTTCTTTTTAATTTCTGCTGTTGTTGTCGTTTTTTATTGTGTTCATGTTCCAGCTTGTAAATCTGCAATGTTGAAGTGACCAAATGGAATAGTGAGTTAACTGCTTTTTTCCATTCTGTTTTCGGGAATCTTTTAAGAAATGTAACTCAATTTTTAAAGGGGGTGGGTTTTGGGTTTTTTTTAATATATATTTTATTGATTTTTTACAGAGAGGAAGGGAGAGGGATAGAGAGCTAGAAACATCGATGAGAGAGAAACATCGATCAGCCGCCTCCTGCACACTCCCCACTGGGGATGTGCCCGCAACCAAGGTACATGCCCTTGACTGGAATCGAACCTGGGACCCTTGAGTCCGCAGGCCGATGCTCTATCCACTGAGCCAAACCGGTTAGGGCTGTTTTTTCGTTTCAATCGTTCTTTTCCCTTGGCTGTTTTTATATGCACATACCACATACTCTCAGCTGAGTGCAACTGTTGGGAGACATATCAATTATAAGCCCGTGATGATTTGCCAAATGTGCAAGAAAATAGTTCACCCCCCTCCCCAAATTTTGTTGTGAGAAAAACACATCAGTCCCTATGCTATTGTAAAGAGCCATTCAATCCATAAGAACACGTGATAAATGCTCTTTCAGAAGGAAAAACAAAGCCCTGATATCTCACACTGACCTCTGCTGTGCAAAGCACTTGTGTGTTTGCTCACATTTTACCCCTGTAACTGCGTGTGAAGACTGGGGAGGAACATCTTCACCTGGCAGGTTAGATATCTCCCCCAGGGCAATGGAGTGACTTCTCAAAGACCACCCAACCCGAAAATTACAGAGCAGTCTCTCACTCCAAGTTCTCCCAATAAATCAAAGACTGCAGATGTGCATTTGTAGGACACATCTATGCATATTAAATTCTGTGCCTGCTGGCCCCAGCCAGTGAATTTGTTTGCCAAGAGCTACTGTCATGAACAAAGAAAAAAAAAGGTAAAAATTAGGGAAGAACTTTTATTGAATGCCCAGTACAAATGTGTTGAGTCCTCTCTGTGTCTTACCTTAATTGAATCATCACCAGGACCCCCCCCCCCCCCAGTGAGCAAGCATTGCTATACCCATTTTACAGATGGAGAAATCAGAGCTTAGAAAATGTGAATATCTTACTAAGAGCAATCAGCTCTCAAAAGTGATGGAACTAACAATCCGGTTCCTTGTTGTCTAACTTCAAACTCCTGGCATTTTCCTGTTCCCTCCTTCTTGTCCTTTTCCTACTCCTTTTCCCTCTTTCTTCCCTCACCACCACTTTTCTTCTCCTTGGAAGAATTAGGGTTATTATATCAAAGAATTCTACTATGCTGCAACCACCCTGTTTATTTTTTAGTTAATAAAAAGTTATAAAAGAAATTGTGTTGGATGCACTAAACTCAAAATTAGCAGTTTTCCTGAGTATTACGTTTCCAAAGGAAAGAAAAACAACTTTCCAGTTGTAACTAAAAGTCTCTTAGCATTTTGCTCTGAACTTTTGAACTACTTCAGACCATTCTGCCTTTTCAAAACCTTCAGGTTTGTGTTCTGCTGGTTAATTCCCTGTGATGTAGTTGGGTTGTTGTAGCAAGGATAATACAGAAGGGTGAATGTGGCAAGAATCCCACTGTGAGCTTTCACATCTCTCACCCTGTTCATCTTCATATCTGCCCCAGCCACCATCTGATCCTGGTGCACAGATATATGATATGCATCTGGAAGCCTTTATTGTGCGCGCTGTAAAGAGATAATGTACCAACACTTGACTACTTTTGGATGTGTGTGGGGTTTCTCAGCAGTAAAAGTCAGTCCAGCCATTGCAGAAATGCAATTGCCCTTTTCTCCACACAAAAGGAAAAATGAGGCATCAGCCTTGGGCCTCTTGCAATTTTTATTTTATCTAGGGAGTATTAATCGCAACAGAAAGGAAAAATGTTTATATGTGCCTACTGTCCTAGAAACCATGCTAGATAATTTTAATAAGCCCCTTAGTCATTATAATAGCCTTGTGTAGTGGATTCAATTAATTTCATTTTGCTGACGAGAAAAACAAAAGTGCAAACAGACTTTGTGAGGTCCAGGTAAAGGTGAAGGCCAGAAACTTGAACTCTGCAGTCAGACTGAATTCATTCGCATCTCTCACCCACTAGCTATGAGACTGTGGACACCCTACCTAATCTCTCCCAACCTCAGTTTCCTCAGCTGTAAAATGGCAATAATAGCCACCTCATGAGGTTATTATGAGAAATTTGAAATTATGTCAGCCTGACTTTATGCACAATTTTTCTTAAACTATAATATACAGGGAGAGGGAGGGAGTACACAACTTGTGAGTTTGGAGTTATGACCTTAAGAAAGGCAAATATTTCTTCTTAATAGTACAAAAAACAATAAGCACAAAGGAAAAACTGTACAAACCAGACTACATTGGAAAACATCACTGTGAGAATGAAAAGGAGGCAAGCCACAAAATGAGAGACGTTATTACAATACATCCAATTGACAGAGGACTTGCCAGAATATATAAAGATGTTTATCAATAAGGAAAAGCCAGACAACCCAACAGGAAAATTGTCAACGGATTTGAACCAGCACTTCACAAAAGAGGATGCCCAAATGGCCAAAAAGCACATGAAAATATTCTCCACATCATTAGTCATCAGGTAAATGCAAATTAAAACCACATGTGATAGCAGTAGACATCAACCAGAATGGCTTGAATGGCTAAAATGAAAAAGACAGACCATACTAAATGCTGACAAGTCTGAGGAGCAACTAGAACACCAATATTCTTGAAAGAGCTGTAGATGGAGAGCCATCGTTTGGAAAACAATGGCGCATTTATGACCCAGAAAAAAGAGTTAACTGTCTGGCCATCCACTGAATAGAAGCATGTTTACATTGGGAATGTGAATACAATAATTATCAGGGCCCAGAAGGTAAACACGCGCTGAGTCATGCTAAAATCTATAATGCCAACTCGATAAGAAAAATGACCCTTTCATCCCATTTCTGTGCTATAAGAGCCATCTGCCTGCCTCCTGCTTCATCTCCAACCCTCTTCACAATGTACAGAAATAATCGGGTTTGTATTTCATCAGAGTATGAAAAGAAGAGTGTGAGTATGGATGCAATATGGGGGTGGCAACGTGGAAATTTCTCCTTTAGCAAGTAGGCAGTTATCTGAGAGGGGCGACCTTGGGATCTCAATCAAAGGGATATTCTATATAAAGAACATTTTGTGGACAGCTCCATTTTGTGTTACCAGTTGCACACAAGAGACAGGATCCTGAATAATAAGGTGCTTTAGAGATTTTGAAAAGCTGCTTTTAGTGACACGCAAGATGGATCTATGTTAGTCTGAACTGGCTCTTCTGAGAAAAAAAATATGAGAATAGAATGCAGGAGAGAAATGAGAAAATGTCTTGTGAAATTAGATGAGGGAGGGGACAGGAGAAAGTGGGAGAGCTTTCAAACCATTATTTGGTATGAAACCTGTGAAAGACAAGAGGAAAGAGAAGGCTTCAGACGACTGTTCTCGGAAAGTCTCAGCGTGTGCAACGGCCAGTCGCCAGGCAGAGGTGGCCCCATACAGAGTTGCAGCCGCCTTGCTTGGAGCATTAGTTTTACCATTAAGTTACTGTTTCATCTTGGATATGTCCCTGGGGCCCTCTAGATCTCCCTCTGTTAAAAAATATCACAGGAATGCTCGATGCACCCTTCTCAGTGTCTTTGCCATTTGTAATTTTGTCTTTACTTGTCTGTGATGCTGTCTCTCTCATTATAAGTCATAGGAGGGTGAAGAATTTATCTGTTTTACTTATCATTATGTCACTGGGCCTTGCCTAGGTCATAAATAAATAGGCGTTAAATTAGTGAACAAACCTTTCAGAGCTGACACTCTGCCAATTATCCAGAAAATCTGATTTTCATCACATAAGATATAAAATACTAGTTTTTTTGTTATAAACATTATTTTTTGTATATAAACATTATTAGTATGTTTATAAGCACTTAATTTCACTTATGAGAAAAATATAAGGAAATAAAGTTATAGTACCAGTGTTGAAAATAAGCTTTATTGTAAAAATCTCTAAGTTTTTGAATATTCTCATTTCTATTTTTGATCTTATTCCCTCCCCCCCAAGATGACATGTGCAGTGTATGGAGAAAACACTAAATCAGGTCACCCCTGAGTGTGATGACCACAAATCTCAGAACTTCTGGAGCAGGATCCATTCCCAATATTCTCTCTGACTTTTTCTGTGCAGATATATTCACAAATCATAAACAAAACATTCTTTGGCAGACTGAGTCTTAATTTTTGATTCAGAAAATATGGTCACCAGATTCTCAAAACTTCTGGAAGCTTTTCTTAGGAATTGTTTAGGGGGACTCTGGGTCTGTGGTGAACTGTTTGCCTGAAAATAAATCTAAGTGTCACGGTACCTATTTCCATGTGTCCACGGTCCATTTCCCTAAAGTTTTGAGGGCCTCCGGGCCTCCCGCTCTACCTTTTCCCGCCTCCCCACCTGCTCACCCACTTGACCAGTCATGCCCTCTTTGCTCTTGCTTTGAGGAGTTAGCCTCCCTGCCTCTCCTCCGTGGTACTGGTAACCAGAAGAGTATTGGATGACTTCTCATAGTTTGTGACTTTCCCATAGAACTTGTGGGAGATGAGTGTGGGCTAGATTTCACAAAGCCGTCTCGGATGGCATTTCCATGGATGCAAACCTGGAGACAAGAGGTTTTCTTTGGATGAGGATCCCAAACTACACTGGACAGAAAGAGGAATTAGGGGAATGAGACAGGAAAGGGGTGATGGAAG